AACTCAACATCTTAAACTTAAAGCACATTGTATTGATTTTATTAGTAAAAAATCACATGATTACAGTACTGCCTAGATATCTTTCAAAATTTAATTTCTCTCCTCTTAGTACAGCTACTGCTGCATTCACTATTTTTTCTATCCAAGTATGTACCCAGAGATCTTTCCAGCTTGCTAAGAGCAGAAGGAAACAAAACTGCATACAATAAAAAGCTAATGAAACAAAAAGTTAGCAAATTAAGTCTATTCTTTCTTTCTCAACATTAAGAACTTCTGAAGAAAGAAAATGTGTGTATTGGAATTAATACTGGAGTTATAGTGAACCTATATATACAGGGAAACTTTATACGGACCTATGTTTCTTCTTCCTGGTCTAGTTTATAGAAGCACAACACACTAAGAACACCCCTTTCTTTACAGGTAGGTAATGGTGTACCAAACCATGCTAATATACTAAATCTCTCATTTTAGCCAAGTTAACATTATTGCAGTGGATACAAACATTCTTCATGTATCTTTTGATATACAAAATTCTTAGATCACCACAAAACTTCAGATGATCCACTGCAAGCCTTTAAGGAGTTTTATTTCATAAAAAAAAAAAAAAAAGAAAAAAAAAAAAAGAAAAAAAAATGTAGGTTATAATAAATTTCACCTGAGCTCTTCCCAGTAAGGGTTCCACTTCTTTGTTATATTCAATGGCAGTTTCAAAGGACTGGAGAAAAGTAGATACTATTGGATCTACAACTTTCTTATTTGTCTTGTACTTTTCATGTATTATCTTTAACAAACCACACTTCTTCACAGTTCCTGCAAGGAATTAAATATGGATTGTCTTGGGATTTTATTTCAAAATAGCAAAAACACATCACATCACCAAAACTTAAGTAAGTTACAGTTCCAAAACAAGCTAAACCTTCAATGAACATTAAGAACAAAACAAAACTTAATCAGCTTTATTAACCAGCTTCCTAAACTCATAGAACAATCAAGTTGTACCTTTTTATATAATGGTATGGTGTACCTACATGATGGTGCAGCCTCTGAGGCTGAAAGTAGGTGGTTTAGCCTACACCTTTAATTCAGCTTCACCTCATTCACAGGAGATATTTCTTCTAAAGAAGAAGTTCCCGCACTAAAAACAGGACTAAGAAGTGTCATTTATGTATCTTACCGGTATCTTCTGAAGTAATTTTGGAAGTGAAGTATCAGAAAAATCTGATAAGCATTTTTATGTCATGCAGGTAATATTTATGAAGCTTTCACAGAATACTCCAAATGCTCAATTTCTTTTCCTGAAGTATTCTGACCCATCATGTAACTTTTCTAGATGCCTACTGTTTATGCCCCCTATCTGCAGACTGGGAATGTATGATAAAGCAGCTCTCCTTTTATAGAGTTATTGAGCATTTCAACAAAGAACCCATAATTTTCATGAGTAAGAAGTTTTAAATTAGGGATTAACCATTTACTATGAATCTGTAATACACCAAGTCCTTACAAAGCAGTAACACGTGACCAATGCAGATGAAAAAAATAAAACATACTTTGAAAACCAGGTATGAACTCTTACAAAAATGCTCTGCCCTAAGAAGGAATGATCTTAAGAAAGATAATCTAATTCAACGATGAAAAGTGATACTCACTCAAAATTACAAATGCTATCAATGTTTCTATGTGAATGCATTGATCACTGCCAATAGCTTCCAATATCTTTAAAAACACGTTAAAAGGGTTTTTTTTGGTCATTATTCCAGTATCAAATAATGGTTACTACCATGACACATAAAATAATACAGGCAACTAGGAAAATGTCTGTATCCACAGAAATGAGAAATGAACAAACATGTGTCTGGTCCTAAAAATGCAATTACCTGGTTTTTTAACTAAGACCAGAGAGAACACCCACTAGCTGTGCAATGAACGAGCATAATTCATTAATTGGATGCTACCACAGCCACAAGGTGAAAACCATCAGAGCAGATAACGTCACAAACTGCCTGTGTCAATACTCACCATTAAAGGCCCCACAGTAAGGACAAGTGGTTTTCTTTCGGCACTTCTCCGACACTTTCTTTTTTAGCCCTCTCTTCTGAAGATATGCAAGGCCAGGTCGTTTTAGGTAATCCAAAAACTGCTTTTTTTCTTCCACTGACAGCATGATGCGGCAACAGGTTTTGCAGATCATCTTAAAGGTAAACATGTATAAACACAGCTGCTTGAGACACATTCAGATGTCACCTCTTGAACTACAGCTTAAGCTCTCCAACACAATGTGGTTTTTTGAATGAGATACCACTCTCTTGACTGAAAGACCAAATCACATATTGGAATACACATAAAAAAGCACATGAGAAAAATACAGTCTATGAGGCAAATCTTTAGCTAAGCTCTGCAGAGCCTTAAAAATTAATATAAATCAAACAGAGCTTTGATTTACTTGGATGTTCTGAAAGGCAAATTATCCTGCATATATTGAATTCAAACTGCAGAAAAATAATATATGAAATTTTTCAGTCTGAGATTACATAGAACGTCACTAAGATTGGTCTTCAAATACATGTATTTTACAAAAGAAAATGTACACAAAGGTAGATTATTAATGCAACCTTATTTTGGCCTTCTCAATTACTTTCAAGCATCATCTTTTCTGAAAATTTCCTTTTTTAGACTAGAAACTGACAACAAACCATGATTATGTTTACCTGTAAGATGCCTATCACAGCTTTGAAGTACCCAACGTGAAAACATGGCAGTTCTAAGTCAATGTACCCATAATGCCCCAAACAATCAGCCAGACTTTTCCCACAGGTTTCACAGGGACGGTCTTTTTCACTGGTTCCCTTTGGGAGAAAGGGAACACACATGCAGAGAAAAAAAGTTAGCTGTAATTGATGGGACAGAGACAAAATACAGTTTATAAGCTAGTCAGGAATCCTAGCAGCAGAGCTAGGATTCTTCTTCCTCAGCACCAGAAGCACATCAATAGCACTACAGTAACTCTGATCCCTAAGAAAAGTGGTTTTTACACACAGCCCCTGCTGACACCAATGACCTGGACTAAGGCAGCTCTTGCAGCTGATTTACAGCCCATTACAGTGTGGCATTTTGGTGACACATGTCTCTGGGTGTCCCAGCAGGCAGAAAAGTAACTTACTTCCTGCCTCAAGAGAATGCATTCCTGCCCTCCAAAAGCGTGAAAAAAGTAGCTGGCACTGCAGCTAACAGTCTATGAAATTTAAGTAAAGACTCATTTGAACTTACTTTGGACAAAAAGTACGTCTTAGTGACCCCAACTTTTTTTTTAACCACTTCAGAAACGCCCCAGAAAGAGTTTAGAAAACAAAAGAAAGGTTCTCACCATGCGATGGTCCAGCACTCCATACTGCAGCGGAGAGTGATGGTTGTCCTGACTATACAAATTTTTGCTGACCACTTGAATATGAGCTTGCTGACGCATCTCTTCTGGAGATTTCATGCCAAAACAGATGTGGCTTCTAGGACAGGAAATTTCAGATGTATGGGCAAATATATATATAGGTGTGTGTATGTGTATATACATATATATGTATGTATATATATACACACATATATTCAAAACCACTTACAATGGCAAGAACACCTACATGCAAGTATCACAGAACCAATCAAGTTGAAAAAGACCTCAGAGATCACTGAACTCAACCTATGATCAAACACCACCTTGTCAATTAGACCATGACACTGAGCACCACATGCAGGCTTTCCTTAAACTCTTGTAGGGACAGTAACTCCACCACCTCCCTGGGCAGACCATTCAATGCCTAACCACCCTTTCTGTGAAGTTCTCCCTGATGTCCAAGCTAAACCTTCCCTAGTGCAATTTAAGGCTGTGCTCTCTCATCCAGTCACTGGTTGCCTGGGAGAAGACGGCAATTCCCAGCTGGCTACACCGTCCTTTCAGGTGATTTTAGAGTGACAAGGTCTCCCCTGAGCCTCCTCTTCTCCAAGCTGAACACTCCAGCTCCCTCAGGCGCTCCCCCTAAGGCTGGTGTTCCTTCAGTAGCTCCCTTGCCTTTCTCAGGACCCCAAAGCACTCGAAAACAATGCAAAAATGGTTAGGTTGATTCACAACATTGGTGAAACAGGTACTTTTCATATAATTGCAAAAAATAAAGCTGCTTTGCGGTGAGTTGGTGGTTTTTATCTGAGGAATTTATCGACCTTCCCAGGCATCCCCACAGCTGGCCACAGGCACAGCCACCCGTGGGAGGACCAGCCTGTGCCAGCGCTCCGAAGAGCGGGGCGTGAGCCGCGAGCTGTCCACCGCGGCCCTCCACGCCAACACTCCCCCAGCTCCGATACAGCGGCTCTGTCCCGCAATTCTGCCGCCCCCAACCCAGCCCCGGGCACCGCAGGACCCCCACTCACATTTTCTTGGCCACATCGGTCTCCCTGAACTGCTCCTTCACCATCGCGGCGGCGGCGGGGCCCGCGCGGCTGCACGCGGGGCCGGGCCGGGCCGGGCCGGGGCGCTCAGCGCGGCCTCCGCCCGCAGCGCCCCCTGCCGGCGCCGCGGCTCCGGGCAATGCCCCGGCCCTTGCGGCACCTGCTGCCGGGCGCGTTCAGCGCACAGCGAGGGAACTGCTGCTGGTGCTCAGCGGGAGCTTCCCGAGCACCGCCTGCCCACCGCCCCTTGGCCTATTCCCCGGCAGCGCGGAGCTGAGCCCGGCTCCGCCCTCTGACACCCCTCCCTGTCTATGCACATGAATGACGCTCTCTCTCAGTCGTCTCTTTCTGAGGCCGAAGAGGCCTCAGCTACCTGAGCCCCAAGCAACTCCTCAGCCAGGCTACTCCACCACATTCAGTCCGTGGCTCTGCGTGTCCCTACAGCAGCCCTAGGTCACCAGCGACGAGACCTCAGGAGCACGGCTCCGAGCCGGAGCCAGCGCACGGCGGGGCGGAGCTGGGCTGAGGTCACCGTCCGCGGGACACGGAGCTGGCTCCGCCCCGCCTCTCACGGGCACACTACAGCCACACTACCACTACGCCCGCCGGGTTCCTGCGGCTCCGGACGGGACAGCCCCACGCACAGCCCCACCCCGCAGGAAGGGCCCTCTTATGATTGGCCGCGGGGCGGCGTCGATCCTTTTCTTTTCCGGTCGCTGGAGCCGCGGTTGCCGCCATGGTGAGTGCCGGGCCCGGGCCCCGCCATCCGCCCCGCGCCGCCGCCATCCGCGCCCCGCCGCGCCCGCGCCCCGCCGCGCCCCGCCGGCCAGGCCCGCCCGCGCCCGCCCGCGGCGGAATGGCGGGCACCGAGCCCGGGCTCCCGCGGCCCGGCCGCCGCCTCCGTGCCCGCCGGCAGCAGCGAGCTGCGGGGCGAGGGCCGCGCCCGGTGTTCGGCTGCGCCGCATTCGTGCTTAGCAGCCCCGCGCTCTGACAGTGCGGACAGTGAGCTGCTGCTCGGGGCTGCCGGCGTCACACCGCCTTATCGCGGCTGCTCCTGTCTGAAAGCCTTGTGGAAGCGGTGGCGAGCAGGGTGTTCAGAGAAATTTCCGCGCTGCGTTAGGAAGAGCGTGGCCAGCAGCTCGAGGGAGCTGATCTGCTCTTTTCTCAGCCTTGGTGAGGCTGTATCTAGAGCGTAGTGTCCAGGTTTGGGCTCCTCAGTCCAGGACAGACATGGAGCTCCTGGAGCGGTTCCAGTGAGGGCAGTGAGGATGACTGGGGAACTGGAGCATTTCTCCTGTGATGAAAGGTTGAGAGAGCTGAACGCCTTCAGTTCAAGAAGGGGTGACAGGAAGGCGATGTTGTCAGTGTCTGTCACTATTTAAAGGGAGGTATCACAGGATGTAGCCAGGCTCTGCTTGGTGGTGCCAGGCAATAGTACTCGAGGCAAGGGCAGAAACTAATGCCCAGGAAGTTTCACCTGAACATCAGGAAGAGCTTCTTTACTGTTCTAGTGCATGGTCAGTCACTGTTCTGTATCCTCACTTTCACCACGCTCTTTACCCCCCCCCCCCCCCCCCACACCCACTGCCATGTTCTTACTCTGAGGTCAGGTATGAACACACCAAGTGCCGTGCCAAGTGTGTAATTTACTGAAAAAACTGGGTAAACTTTTCTATACCCACTAACCTGTTCTTCCTTTCAACCAGGAGCATCCAGGAATCATGGATGCTCCCTTGTCCTTAGGGGTGGGAAGCCATAGAGGCTTCAAGCATTTGGGTTTAGAAGGAAACTTCTGTTGTATTAGAGTACTTGGCATTGAGATCCATGTCTTTTAGTAAAAGCTGCTTCAGTTTTTCATGGTAGTGAAGGCGTGTATGTTGCTGTGGTGTTTTGGAAACTGGGGATTGAGTTTGTCAATTTGTCACTCAAAAGTGTTTTCTGTAGCCCAAGACCAGCCCACTTAATTGTGAGCTCACTGTCAGTATCGGAGGCTCCTGACTGTTGTGGTACTACTGTACATTATTTATACACCTACTCAGTTTCTGTTGCATTTGTAGCTATTGTTTTGTTTTATTTAATGTTTTCTCTTGCAGAATGACACAGTGACCATCAGAACCAGGAAGTTCATGACCAACAGACTTCTGCAGCGCAAGCAGATGGTAAAAGACTACAGAAAATTGCCTTTATTTGTTTGGTGGTTCCAAGCTGGAAGGTTTAGCTGCTATAAATACGGGGCCCTTAAAATCTACAGGGTTCTTAAATTAAGAATTATAAGAGCATATGGGTTTAAATACGTTGACTTATGCTCAAAGTAAATCTTATGGTGAACTTGCACCAGCTTGAGACTGGATGTTTAGGAAAATAATTTCTGCACCAAAAGGATTATTAAGCATTGGAATAGGCTGCCCTGGGAAGTTGCTAAGTCATCTTCCCTACAGGTATTCAAAAGACATGTAAGTGTAGCAGTTCAGAACATGGCTTAGCACCATTGAGACACTTGACAGGATTGGATCTACTGTTGGATTTAATGATTTTAAAGGTATTTTTCAGTCTAAATGACTCAGTGAAGCAAGAAACATCTGAATGCGTTTGTGTCAAATGAATCATAGTTTCTGCTGAAGTGGGTTGGTTTAAATGTTGAGCTCATGGTGGAACTGTAGCACCTGGTGGGGCTGTGTACTGGATATTGACCTTTCATCAACTTGTTGAAAATCTTTTATAGGTGATCGATGTTCTTCATCCTGGGAAGGCCACGGTCCCCAAAACAGAAATCAGGGAAAAGCTGGCAAAAATGTACAAGACAACCCCTGATGTAATTTTCGTCTTTGGCTTCAGAACTCACTTTGGTGGTGGCAAGACAACAGGTTTTGGCATGATCTATGATTCCCTGGACTATGCAAAGAAAAATGAACCAAAGCACAGGCTTGCCAGGGTATGTTGTTTTCTGGTATCTCAAAAGCAGCATTTGCGTGTGTAAAAATTCAAGTTTTGTGAAAGTACAGTTGCATGATAGCTCCTAAAATAGCACATTTAACTTCTGCATTTGCAAAATAGGCTAAGTGTGTTTTTATTCTATATTACTAGGGAATTGGGAAGGCAAAACTGATACCAGAGGTGTTTAGCAGTAACTTTTAACAAAACACTAATAAAGGTCTAGAATAAGCATAAGAAATGGGTCTGATCCATGTGCCTCTTCAATGTTTACGTTGTGTGTTGAATTATTCATTAGTTAACAATCTTGCTGTTTAGTTAATTTTCGAAATTTAAACTGTATCATGGAACATAAACTCCAGCGTTGATAGTAGAGAAACAATGTTAAAAGCAACTTTCAACTGTTTTTAATAGCACGGCTTGTATGAAAAGAAAAAGACTTCCAGGAAGCAGCGAAAAGAGCGTAAGAACAGAATGAAGAAAGTCAGGGGCACAGCCAAGGCAAACGTTGGTGCTGGCAAGAAGGTAGGATGAGAATATCTTATAAGCTAGAGTGAACATATGCCTTTGAAATGTTGATTATGAGTTCTTCAACAGAATAACATTGTTTCTCTTCCATTTTTTCACCTGTTCTACTGGATAACAGAAGGTAAACTGTATGTTGTATAGCTTGTCATCAGCTCAGTAGCTTAGTTGTGCTCCTCACTGCTGCCAGCCTAGCTGATACAACATGAAGCAATGCTTCCTAAATTACTGTTTCTTATGTGTCACTTAAACTAAAGTTAAACTTTATAAATCTAACAGTGTTGCTCTAATCACTTAACTCAGTCTCGCAATACACACATTGGATAATCTTAACACTTGTTGCTCAGGCTGCCTAAACCCCTAATGCTTCCTCCCCCAAGTTACTGTTGGTATGGTGTTCCTTCCCGAGGTAAGTTTGTTAAGGATGTGTGCTGTAGGCAGTGAGGACTGTGTAAATAAAATAAGGTAGAATTCCTTGGGGTTTGAGGGACTGGTGCCCAAGGTAGTGGAGTCTTTCTCTGGTGAGGCTAGACTGATGCAGCCCTCCTGGGCTGTGGCTAGGACCTGATACAGGCAGGTTGGAAGGAGGCAGATTTCCTCTCTCATGAAACAACTAAAGCTGAGGCATGGGTTGGGTGGGAATCTAGTCACTTTCCTTCACAGTGTTCCATTTTCTGATAAAAATTGAATAAGCTGTGCAGCAAGTGGGGTTTTTTTTTTTTCAGGTGTTTTAGCAAGGGGAGAGAGGGTAATGGGTTTTGATGCTTAGTTCTGTAGCTGTGAAAATACCTTGATATCTTGAACTTTAGTAATCTTCACTTTTGCTTTTTTCCTACTTTCTGGGAACTCTCCATCAGAAATGAAGTATCTGCAGGTACTGGAAATGAGCATGGATTTGGTGCCTGAATTATACATCACTGAAATGTGTCTATCCTTTTAATTAAAGCACTGTACTGCCTTGTACGCATGTTTGATTTAAACTTAACATCTGTCATGTGAGGGTTCACCTAATTACATAATGAATTTTATTCGTGTGACTTGGAAGTAAAATATGCTTAGTAGCAAACCAGACTTTTTGAAAGTAGTGAATAAACTTGAAAATAATTCCCAGTGAGAAGAAATCCAAGAAATCCAATCTTGTTGACTTGAGAGGTTGGTTCAGTTACCACAGGATCTGATTTTCAAAGTAGTACAGTGCAGTTGCATGTGTAACTTGACCATTGTGTGAAAGTGGTGGTGTACATGAAAGCTGAGTCACATCACAATTGGTGCATTTGAGGTGGTGCTTGGAGATGGCACAGTTGTCAACATTAAACTGTATTTTACTCTTGTCCTGCAGTATTCCAAGTTAAGACACAAATTACAGTGAAATTGGAAATCTAAATGAAATTAGATTTTGTAGTTAGTGTGGAGGTGAAGTTCTTGTTATCCCTGGATGGAAAGGAGCCAGTGTTACTGACAGTTACTAGATCAGGGAATTACTCTACTAGAAAACATTAGGAGCCTTCTTCCTTTGTGCTTTAATGCTGTTTTAATCATGAAGTCCTACAATGGTTTATGGCACAAAATTAGCATTTGGTGTAGTAGTAACACCTAATGTACCCGCTTCTGTCAATGGCAAAGGAGTCATTTCATGTTGCACCAATCCCAGTAATTTGGAGGAATTTCTTCCTTTTAAGACTTTTACACCTGAAGGTAGCTGGTTTTGAGTGTTAATGAAAAGTGATCAAGTGACTCACTTGAACTATTAATGGTGTCTAGTTCATAGAAGTTCTTACAGCCTATCAACAGTTCAGAAATTGAAGGCAAGGATCGTGCCCTGTGGTAATTATGTAGGAGATGCATATCAATGGCTTGTCAAACTAACATGTAGTCTCAGTAGTAGGTGAACTTTTTTTTTGTTTGTTTGTTTTTGATTAGAGATATTTTGATGTCTTTTTAACCAATCTTTCAGTTGATAAGTATGCATGGGTTAGATACGACTTGTTTACCAGATTTGTTAATCTTTTTGTTGTCACTTAAGATAAATTATTTTGTGCACTTCCTGAACAACTTACTTGAGAAGAATTCTGTGCTGCACTATAGAAAAACAGTAAACTTTGTCTTCAGAAATGCGTGTTCAAAGATCATGATGTGGTATGGCTCATCATCCTTATCACAGCTGTGTGAAGGAATTTTTAATAGGAGTCCTGGAATACATTTTTGAGTCCACCTACAAAATCTGTGAGAACTATTTTTACCTTGTAAATGTATCAGTATTGGTTAGAAAGAAACATTTAGGCAAGTGTATATTCTAAAAGTTACGTATGATGTAGTCATGACATAACTATGCTGATGTATTGTTAAGTTTTCTTTGATGATTCCTTTCACTTCTCACTCCTTCAGCATTCCCATTCTGTTTTCCCTGCAGTTTCAAGAGAACTATTTTAAAATATTTTGTGTTATTTAATATATTCTGTGGCTCTAGAGCTGGCTGAGCTTGCTAAAATTTGCAATAAGTATATGTGAATGTGCCTCACCTGGTCTTTCCATTCAAAATAGTGATACTGAAATGCAGAAATATCCCCACCTTCCCTTTTAATGTCACAGCTGTAGCTGTGACAGCTTTTGGCAGGTGGGGCTGTCAAACACAAGTGTGGATGGATAAGCACATGGAAGCCATTGTAGCCTGTAGGTGTAATTATTGAACATGCAGTTGCATTCTGAGCATTAGTTAAGCTCTAAATAGCTGTTGAGTTTAAGGGAGTAAGTGAAATCTTAAGTCTTCAGTCTCTGCAGTAGTCAAAACTTCCAGGGTTTCCTATCACATTTCAGTGTGGTTAATTAAAAAAAGCATGTGAGTGTCAGTGAAAACCCTTAAAGCTCAATTTTCTACAGTAGTAGAATTCAGATAAAATTCTTACTAATTTATGTTTTTTCTTTTTCAGTAAATGAACATTCTTCAGGTGGAAAACAGATAACAGGTATGCCTTCAGAATGCTTTTTAAGGGTGGGCATTCAGTAGTGCAGTCATTATGATAACAAGTCTGAGGTTCATTTATGCAGAGATTGGAACTTGTGCAGACATAGAGCTCAGTGCAAGAGTTTAAAGCTAAAAATATTTACAAATCACTTTTGCACTTATTAGTGAGTTGGTAGCTTATGTGACTGTGACTTGCATGAAATACCTGATCAGTATAAAGACTGAAATAATATATTAGGTATTTCAGATTTACTGTAACTCAAGTTGCTGATTGTTTAGTCTTGCTGTAAACAAGGCTTATACTTTTCATATGTAGGTATGCTCAAGAGAGGATAGGTACTTGAGTTTTATTGTCTGAAATAGATTGAAGTAGCATGATACCTATTTTTGGAATGACTGTATGTTGTTTTTCTATAGGTACTCCTGTCAAATAGAATATTTACAAACAGGATACTCTTACAAACAAGTCAGACTACATTTTTATATCTTTGCTGCAGGAATATAAGTGCTGTGGTCATAACTGCTCCAGAAAAAAACTCTGTTTCTATTAGAAATGGTCTGAGTTGGAAGGAACTTAAAACAGTCTGTCTGGGAGCTGATATAGTGAGTGTAATGTCTTAAACAGAAAGCTGTCACAGCTTGTTGATATCTTCTACAGAATTGCTATAATTTAGGCTCATTTTTTGCCATGGCAGTGCTGGGAAATTTTCAGCTTTGTGCTCTTACAAGAGCAATGTGTGTGGTTCACCTGACTTTTTTGGGAAACAGCTTTTCAGGCTTTATAAAAGTACAAATGTGAAAATTGTTTTAATTGTGTGTCAGTGATGTATTTTTTTCCTTTACAGGCAGCATCATTCTATGAAGAAGTATAGAATGAATTACTCTGGAAAGCAGAAGCTGCTCATCTGACTCTAACATCAAATAAACTCTGTCAATAAAATACTGGTTTGCCTTTTAATTCAAAAGTAACCATTTTGTAAAGTTTGAGAAATTCAGTATAGGTGTACTATTTGCACTGGATTAAAATCTTTTCATAATTAAACAAGTGTTGTTTTGAGTATCAATTTGAAGTGAACCACAGCTTCCTACTACTACAGGTAGTAGTAGGAGCTAATTGCAAGCAGGCAGTGTTAGAGGTAGACATGCTCTTGTTCAAGCTGTGGTTTGGAAAGTCCTTTTGTTTGGCTGCCTGTTTTATATAGACCTGTAGAATACAGTGGAAGGGAGAACCAAACATGCAGACAGAGACACTCAGAGCTGCCTGCTTCCACAGTTAAGGCTAATGAAGGCATTAGGAATGATTTGTATTTTGTTCCTGAGTTACCAGGACAGTCTCTGGGGTCTGTCTCTGGTCTGCAAGCTGTGTGGAACACCCCTAAATTTTCATCTGATAGTCTCTGGTGCATGTGTTTTGAGGAGTATGGAAAGCAGAAATTCTGTACTTCAAATAGGACTGAAACAGACTGGGCAGCTCTAGCAACTGTGTTGAGTAAGGCTCTGACATTTTACCTAAATGCAGTATTTTTGAATTGCACTACCTCTGTACTGGGCAACATGTTGTAAGACAGGTAAAAACACTTCAAATGTTTGAGGGAGTAAACCAGCTCTATCACAGCTAAGAGTTGTTAAAGGGTTGGAAAGAGGCTGTTCAAGATCTGCTCAGTACAGATGAAGCACTTAATGCCTCTTGCAGTACCTTCAGTTTGAGTCTTGAGCTAGTGGGGTTGCTGCTGTCTGTCCACAGCATCATGCTGTTAGCTGTACAGCTCATAGCTGTGGTGCTGCAGTAAACCCTTCCCATATATAATGTTCAGCATGAAAGGAGAGGAGTGACACTATTTAGTGTAATTGAACAATCACTAGGGGGTGGTGTGAACACAGCAATACAAATACAGGGAAGACGCAGCAATTTTTCATAGAATAGGCTGAAAGGAGGCCAAATTGTCCCCTGCCAAAGAGGTCAATTTCTTTGAAAACATGCATTAAAAATAGTAGTGTGAAGGAGCTGAAACGTGAAGTGATATGCTTGTTTCAATTTTGGTTTGAATTCAATGGAAACCATCTGTTTCAGTGAAGACCATAGAGTTAGTGTTTTCCAAATGTTTACTACTTGAAAGCTCTAGACTGCTGGCACAAATTCTAGTTGCTCTTTTCAGAAGCTACCTTACCTTAGTTCTATGCAATCAAGAAAGGATCTATAAAGAAATGCTTGCATAAAGGTATGTGGCAGAGTGCCTTGTGTAGGATTGATGTTTTGAGTTTACATAGTAAACAGTGCTGTTCTGGGGGTGTCTGCCTCCAGAAGAAATTATTTCTGGAATTGGAGTACTGAAGGATTCCTTTAGCTTTGTAATGTCTTGCATTTTATTTAGTATGGATTTGTTTATGTGGGTAGTACAACCCACTGCAAAGCAGATGGGTTGAAATAGTTACAGCTTGGTGCCATATTATTGGAATCTTTGTGCTTCAGCAGTTGGGAGTTGTACACAGGTCTTCATGTGAGGCTTGCTCTGCCAGAGTTTGCCTCTGCACTCCAGTCTAAGCAAGGTGTAGGAGCTTTTCTGTAATTCAGAGGTTTAATGCACATGTCGTGCTGTGAACACTCTAGGTTAGTCCCCTTTCCTGTGGGAGGTAAAACAATAATTAAGTGGAACAGGAACCTTCACATTTTTCCCTACAGTGTACTGAAGGAACCTTTTTATTTCCTGCTGATCTTAGCACATCCCATAATTTAGAAGTAGTAGCTTTGTCACTGTTGCCTGCCTGGCCTGGCCCTCATATTTCAGGATCTCAATAATTTTATCTAGTTAACAACAGTCTGGAATCCAGATAAGAAGATGAAGGAATTTTGGAGAACAACTTCTAAATTAATCTGGTGGCAAGCAATGTCAAATTCATATATGTGGAAAGACTTGCATTAATCACTGTTTACAATGTTTAGGGCTTGTTGGAGTTGGTGTTTTGCTGTAGGAAAGACTCAAAATTGTATAGCAGGCCTAGTAAGAGCAGTGATGCAGACGAGTCTGGTGGAAAGACCTGTCCTGGCTGCACAGAAAAAGAGAGCTTTGATAATGATGATGAAAGATGGCAAAATTTGACAACACCTGGGTGCAGTGAGGTGGTTTTGTCTAGGGACCAGCTAGTAATAAGTTTGAGAACAAATATTGAGAGGAAGAAATGAAGCTGATACCAACAGTGGCTTGAAATAAATGAGGCACAGTATGCTTTGAGAAGACTGCAGTACCAACAGTCAGATCAATGGGCAATGTGAGTTCTTCCTATTGATAGAAAATGTGTCATTTAAGGACTGAAGTATGTAGGTCACTATCAAATCTGTTTGCAACAGTCAAAAGAAATTAACTTGTTCACATTATTCTGGTCAACTCCTATAAAAAAAGAGTTTTAATGTAATTGGTTTCTTACACAGAAGAAATAGAATGTTGTCCAGTAACAGCTGTTGATGATACTACATTCATATAATAAGTTTGAAATATCTGTTGTAAATGCTTCCTGCTCATGTGCTTCTATCTGGGCAAAACAAGATCTAGTGAACCTTTTTTTGGCTGATATTTTAATAGTGCTAAGAGATAAGAGTAGTTAATTATTTTTTCTATGAATGCTGGCAAAATTTCATTTGAGCAGGTAAATTTTCCAATATAGGTGGCAAAAAGTTCATCAATGTCCCTAACAGAATAGCAATAAGATTAAATTACTTCTATGTTGTAATGCATCTAAGATGTAAAATGGAAAGGTTTAAATAAATTTCTACAAATCACTGTCAGGAGCAGGCACATCCAAATACTTTCATGTCTTTGGACACTTTCATTATGAAGGGATTAAATGGAAACTTGAGTTTGTTGCTAACATTTTTGAATTCTAGTTACATTTTAAAAATAATCCCTGGGAAATTTTTTCCACATCTCGAATTCTGTAAATTCCCTCTTAATTTTTTCCTCTCTGTAAAGGCTGTGGCTAGTGAAACAGCTGCAGAAGTGGCTAAAAGATATCCTGTGTGGCAGAAGGTAACTGATTTCCAAGAGCTGGCCATTGGCAACCGGTGCTCCTGACAAAGCTCCAGCTTCTTTCTGTGGCTGCTGTTCAAACACTGAGATCTTAGGTAAAGTGCAGTAATGTGCTGGGGCAGAGGATTCAGAGCACCCCTGCCTTCTTGTAACAGTACATGTTGCACAAGCAGCAAAAGCGATGAGTGCAATGCTTCACTGGGGTGGATGATAACAGTTTGTACTTGTGTCCATTGGGTTAAAATACAGCTGCTATTTAATGAAGCTGGCCAGGCTGCACACTGACCCCCATTAGGAGAAACATGCTTCGTTGCCTTTCATGATGATCTGATTTGATTGTACTGGAGCTGCTACCCTGCTATCATTTTCTGTCAATTTTTGCTAGCCTGTTTGTTAAGCCAGGCATAATTTGTGTTGATTTGATAACAGGTTTCAATCACTGATAATAAAACTTTTCTGTGACAGATGACCTCAGATCCATATCTCCTGCACAGTGTTGGCTGTAAGTAGAAAATTGGGACTGCCATTTTGCTTTTTCAGTGTTTTCTGTCTGATTTAACAGCCAGTGTAAAAATAACAATCAAAACAGTTTAATATTTTTAAATTAAAAGAGTGGAAACGGTTGAATTCTTAAAATGTTGGTCAATAGTTCTTGCATAGCTTTTAGCAGGGTATCAAAACATATGAGAACTGAGCGATTTCATGTTTTAAGTATTTATTTTAATTGATCAATTCTAGTTATTGTAGAGAGGTTGATTTAGGCCCTACTTCAGGGCTTTACAAAAGAAAAGAATAATAGCATGGGGAGAAACTGCATCCTATTCACACTAATACTAAACCTTTATGTTTTTGAGGAGTTAACTAAACTGAGAATATATTATTGCTAGCATTAAACTGCATAGTGCTTGTAAAAACAAGCACTGAAGGACTGTACTCATGCATAAACCACAGAAAACAGGGTGAAATTGAATTGTCCAGAGTCAAAAAAATGCTGAAAAATAAACATCTGTCATTAAACACTGTGTGCAATATGCATAATGTTTGTTTTCATTTTTATTAATCATGAGAATCTTCAATTGTGTTAATGTCTGTTAATTGCTTTTTGTGACTCTGACTTGTGCTTTTGAAAAAAATAAATCTCCCCTCAGCATGGTGAATGATTGCTTTAAAATACTTCATTTTGGTTCAACAGTGTTTTGACTCCTGGCAATACTTTGTTGATAAGAAGTGTCTGATGACCTGGGTGAAAGCCTCAGTGTAGGACTAAAAAATACTTTTACAGAAGCTTTAACGTGGTGTGTGCACAGACAGACCTAGGGGAACCTCAGAAAAACCTGTCCTGCTGAAGGCAAGCGAGGTGCTCCTACAGTCCTGGCAGGATGTCATTGGAGGAGCTTACAATTTCCTGGGCAATGCCCCTCATATCTGCTTTAAGGTCAGCCCTGACTCAGTCAGATTATTGGACAAGATGATAATTGTAATTCCCTTCCAACTTAAATAGTCTATTCTGTGTATTTGTACAGAAGTATGTTTGCATTTATGCCTTTACAACAGTGAGGTACGCAAAAAAATATCCTCCTACCTTATTTTCTCTGCTTTGTGTGTGAAGTGGGAGCACTGGAACATTCCAGACTTACTGTGCGGGGATTAACTCTTGTCAGTCATGATAGATAACCATAATTTTGTACCTTTTTAGTCTCACAACTCATAGCAACAAGCTGTTTCCATATCTGGCTGCCAAACTATGGGCATTCTTCTCTGAGGTTTATAACTTGTATCCCCGTGTTCATTAGCAAAGTTCATTGGCCCATAGCATGAACACTTTGTCCTTTAAATACTTTGCGTGATTACTACTGATTTTAATGGAGGGAGCTAGTTAGTTCTTCAATCTTAGATCTTTTGCTATCGCCTTAAAGAC